TGCCGTTTGTTTTTAGAAATTGCCTTTGAAGTCTGATCCATGATTTCCATTTGCTTTATTGTATTATAATAGCTCGGCAGATACTCCTGTGAACTTTGGCAAAGGGTTTGGCAACCTGATGACGATGTATGGTCCTGTACCTTCGTTATGGTATGAATGATATTCGGCTTTTCCCCTTTTGGACTTCATCCAGCAACGTTGATGGTATCCTGTGTATGTCCAATGGCAAGATTTTCCCATTTTCATTCATCATGCAGAGTGCACGGCGAACATATTGCGTTGTACAGCCGTGGGGAATTCACCGTGACAGGCCGATATTCTTTTGGAGTCAGAATTTTCCTGTTGTATGTCAACAATATTTGATATTTTTCACATTACTATAGAGAAAGTAGCTATGAATGCAAATGGTTCATATTTACAGGAAAAGCATATCATAATTGACTTCTCCCCATTCTTTAATGGAATCGAAAACGACGTCATATGCAGTACAAGCGTTCAGTCCTTTGAATTTCATTTCACTTCTGACCAGATCTTCGCGGCCTCCCACCAGGTTGTCATCCTTTCGTCAGCGATAGCTCCACCGTCTTAAACACTTTTAAACGCCTTGTTTTGTAGTCATTTCAAAATTACATTGCCCTCATATCTCGATTTATTGATTAATATAGATAATGCATTGCATGATCTATATTAATGCATTCAGATGAATGCATCGGTGTGATGATAGAAGTCACTTCTTATTGATCACCTGCTAAACGCAAACGTTTCTGCAGGTTTCTACATCATTTCAGGTAGAGAATTGGATCACATCTTTTTTGTGCATGCCTTGGGATTGCTGATGACCATTGAAGAAATGCAGACGCATATGATTTAGTGACTCTTGTTTTCGGCTCTGTCAAAAAATTAACTATTCACCGCCAATGCTTCAACAACATTGGTCAGCTTCGATTAAAACCTGCAACAACTGGTTACCAACCTCTTGAAAAAAGAGGAACCCATGCCAGATAATTAATTTAAAGTTATTCAGCATTATGTTCTATGAACTTACGCTATAGATAGTGTGAAATTATTGCTGTTCTTAATGAGGTACTGTTGTCCACCAATGGTCTGGAGGTCATGAGAAGCTTTCTCTGTTACCGCACCAGTCGGGCAAGATACACTTTGCTTAAGTTCATTTTCTCTTATGTTAGCCGCAGCCCGTTCTTCGCAACATTACCGTTGGACTGAGTTTTACAAATATGCCAGAGTCTAGACTGTGACATTATTGGACAAAATTATTAATAATCAGAATGCAATGATGCAAGATTTCTATCAGCATCTTGTGAACAGCTGCTACCATATGATCAAAGGAAGTTTTATTAAATTATGTACTTTCAGAAGCACGTATATTTATGACAGGATGAAGACAATTTGAAATAACATAAGTGCAGTGAATGTTATCCACAGTTCAAAGGCATGAGCAGGTGGCATGTATTTTTGCATGGCATACATATTACCCTGGATTTTTCAAGTCCTAACAATCAAAGTGACATTAACGGTATTAATATATACTTTTACATCCTTTATATGTCCATATCCTTTATATATCCCGATATCATCCGCCAGACATCGCTCAATGAAATCTCTCACCCGTCTTGCCCATTAGCCAGTGGCAACTAAAAAAATGTTTATTTGTGCTGTTTTGAAAGTACTTAATTCTCTTCATGCTGTGTTAAAAATTACGTTGAAGACAGCTCGAAATATGTCAGCTTGAAAAGCGTATATCTTATTAAGTTCGGTAAATTTATTTCTCGCATTATATTTTCAATGGATAATTGAATTGAAAGATTAAAGTACCATATAAGAAGTAGCATTCATGCAGTAACTGTGAAGCACAAAATAAAGGACAGTTTTGCCATACAGATTATTGGTTCATCGGTTGGAAATCGTAACAGAGCATCGCTGGCGGAGTTTGTCGGCATTTTGCAAGACAGACTTCTGTCCAGTAGGTCACTTTACAAGACCAATTTACTGTACTTTATTATCAGATAAATTAATAATTTACATTGAGTGATAAGACTCTGGTTTGTACGATTTTTAGTTCTTAGTGCGGAATACTCAGTTGATTACTAAATGCGTGAAATTGCAGCACAGCCATGACACAATGTAGTAACTCATGAACTAGAATTGCCAGTTATGCTTGGAAGTCGGCCGCTTATGCCTTAGTTTTATCCGAAGAGGCTTCTTTTTTCTTCTACGCTGACGTCTGACAGTTCAAATGCCTTTTTGCCACATTTGAACTGCAGTTCATTTAAAGAACCGTTTTTGAACTGGCGCTGACCTGAGCGAAGCATCGTTCAACAAATTGCGACAGGCAGAGACATCAAGTTCAGGGCTATAACTGAT